CAAGTCCACTTTATTCATACACTGAGGGAGGCCAATTGCTGCGCCGATTACCTGACAAATCTCCCACTAGACTGCCCGGATATGGATGATGATTCTGTTTTTTCAGAACCTTCTCCTGGATTACTCTTCCTTTTGCTTGTGGACTCCTGAACCATTCCTCGAATTAGGGGTGTCGGTTGATTCTTTTTTTTTGTTTTCTGCTTTTTAGCTTTTCTTTATGTATAAAAAAAAGACCACAAGGGGTCTAAGTGATATATATATATATATATATATATATATATATATATATATATATATATATTAACATAAAAGTGCTATATTTTTATAACCATAATGAATGTAAGTGAAAATTCGAAACCAGATGGGGTTAAATGATAAATTACTTAAGCATAATGGGCATAAATGATATGTTTAAAATCACAGGGGGTCAAATGATAAATCATAGAATCACAATAGGTGAAAATAAAGTTTTCCCAAAAAAAAAGAAAGAAAAAAAGAAAATGGCAACACGACTATGAACGATCTCGGCAAAAAAATTAAAATATTACTATTTTAATAAATAATTACGAATATATAGCTATTTCGAAACCCAAATTAAAACGGCAACACGACTATTTATTGCATTCATTCACACCCAAATAAGCGTGACCATTCACGCTTAAGTTATGCGTGACTTACAAGGCATTCACGCCTAATTTAGGCGTGACTGGCTGGTGTTGACATGTGGCACAAAAAAGTCAACTTACGAATCGTAAAACTTTAGAAAGCCATAACTTTTGACTCAGGTATCCAAATCAGGTAATTCTTTTATTCCACAAAACTTTTCGAGATCTATGTTATGACACTTCATTTGACATATTTTATCTCTCCTAAACACATTTCAAATTTACAATAATGATATTATAAGAGCGATTAAACTCAGAAGCCTCCGAGTTTTGGGTTTGTGATTTAATATAAATAAATAAATAAAGATTTAGTTTGTGATTTAAATTAAAAAAATCAAAAAATTTAAATTTTAATATAAAAATAAATAAAGATTTAGTTTGTGATTTAAATTAAAAAAATCTAAAAAATTATTATTAATAAAGAAAACATCATAAAATTTGATTTGTGATTTAAACTCAAAAATCTATTTTAAAATCTGTATTAATAAAGAAAATAATTAAATAAATATTCTAATTAAACCTATAAGGAAGAAGGATTTTATTTTTGAATACCATTCAGAGGCTATAAGCTTCCAACGAATCCAGCCATAAAGACCCAACCATTGTTTCGTATGAGAGACGTTTCCAAATTTCAGAGATTAGGATTCGATTTGAGGTTTAGTTTTCTTTCTTATAGCCATTAGTCCATTTTTTATTTTTCTTTCTCTTAGGCATACATAATTAAATGACTTTAAAGAAAAAAAGTCATAAAATAAAAGGATGTAACTTATGATACGGTTCGATAAAAGTCGTAAAAAAGTTATATATTTTTAAATTTTTTTATTATATTTATGTATATTACGATTCGATATGATTCACGATACGAAAAATCGGTCAAACGATACACAGTACATATTGCGATTCAATAACCTTGTACACTATTTTTTTTTCAAACACTTGGTAGAAAGTATATATTTTAATAGGACATTAAGTATCCTTATTTATAGATGGACTAATCCACTTTGGTGTCGTCTTTAATTTCAGACCACGACTTAAATGATAAAGTCTCTATTCACAGTGATAAGAATACAACCCATAGGATAGGGATAGAGAGGTCCTAGTAGGCAAAAGATTGTGTTTGGTGTTGATTCAGAAAGATCTCGAAGGCTTCTGAGTTTAAACGCTCGTATAGTACTACTGTTGCAAATTTGAACTGTGTTTGTGAAAGATAAAATATGTCAAATGATATGTCATTGCGTAGATCTCGAAATGTTATGTGGAATAAAAAAAATTACCTAATTCGGATACTCGAGTTAAAAGTTATGGCCTTCTGAAGTTTTATGGTTAAATTATTAATTTTTTGTGCCACGTGTCAATACCAGACGAGTCACGCCTAAATTAGGCATAAATGCCTTGTGAGTCACGCCTAACTTAGTCGTGAATGGTCACGCCCAATTTGGGCGTGAATGAGTGCAGTATATTCGTAATTAGGTTCAAAACAGCAACTTATTGGTAATTATTTATTAAAAAAATAATATTTTAATTTTTCCCCCGAAGGATCTGTAGTAAGGAAAAACAATCTCTAGCAACAATAGGAGACTTGTTTTTCCCTTTAATTAATCATTCGATATTCAGTTATCAACTAGTGTCAATTAATTCGGATTCCGACAACGACGCCATTTTGTTGGTTTTTGTGAAAAGTATAGAATCCAAAGAAGAATTCAAGTATCGTTCACAGGGAACGAGAAATTTAATCTCTTTTATTTATTCTTTTTCATTTTTCTTGAAGGTGAATGTGATTGCTTAAAAAATATAATTTCTAAGATGTAAACTAAAAAAAGAATAGTAAGAACAAGTTCAAATGAGTAAAAATGAAGATTAGAACTCTAGAATTCTGATTTCAATGACTTTCCCTTAAAAATTGTATGTCTGCGTTTTAACTGATGTAGCAACTATCTTAATGGAATCTGATTTTGGCAAAACCTAACTAAACATTCCCAAATCCAGTTCTGAAATTGATTTATACTAATCCCTTAGTCTTAAATCAATCAGTTATGACGTGTAATCAAATTCTTTCCCAGATTATTCCTAAACTTGGAATCTTGAGTTAATGAAATTCATAAACTAAAATTTCTCAATACAAGTTCATACAAGAATTGTTAAGCTCATTCCCATGGAACTCAAACCAAGAAAGTTTCACTAATCAAACATCAAGAACATGCATAACAGTTTGAATCAATTAATGGGTACTTGTCATCTTCATCAGAATTCTAGAAAAAGGAATTAGCAATGCATTTTGAAGATTAAAGCAAAAATGAATCCTGACATTAAAGAAAACATGTTCTTCATTCACAAAGACAAGAAGCAGTAAAAGTTGAAGGTACAGACCAATTTCTTCTTCACAAATGAAATTGTAAAACTACGAAAGGTTTAATCAAAGTACAACAAATCCAAAAGCTTGCATGTGAAAATCCCTCCTCTTGAATCCCTTCAAGAATGAAGTCCTTCCTTGTGCATATATGTATCTCCAAGTATTTACAAAGAAAACTAAAACGCTCAAAAATCTAAAACTGATTTCAATGAAATTTTTCTGAGTTCTTTTACGAAAACAAAGACTCTAATTTAAACTAAAGCTTCAAGTAGATGTTGTCCATTAGATCAAACGCAAATCCAACGGTTCTCACTTTGCCATCTCAGCTCATTTATTATAATTGTGCCATTCTAGTTCAAATAGTAGAGAGAAAATATAACAGAAATTATAAATATGCCATTATTAACCCAAATACCTTATTGGGCCCATTCTTTGCAATTTGGGTCATTTTTACCTGCACTTTTAGTTGTATTCAGCTGATTTCCAATAAGAATTACACTGCTAAACTAAGGAAAATTTCTAACTAACACCCACCACTTGCTGCACGATTTAATGCTCTAATTGAAGCTCTATCGAAATTCAACTTGTACCATCCATTTGCATGAGTCGTCCATGAGTAATTTTGGTGAAAATTACCTGATGTAGAAATTGAGGCCCTTTGATGATCTCGTGAAGCAAGAATATCATCAATATATTTAGATATAATAACATGGGCATTTTTCTGGTTGCCTGAAGTTACCTTCATGAACAGATTTGTTCCTCCAATACCATAAGAACCAGCAAGATGTAGAAAATATATCATTCCAGTCATAAACAAGTTGCATCTGCATAAAGCCTTCCAAATTATCACTCAACCAAGTGATAGTATGTGAATCAAAGAAATGAGGTTGAGGGAAACATTGTAACCAATGACCTTATAAATTCCTTGCATGAGTGCAATCACGTAATACATGTATAAGATCTTCAACCATATTTGGACAAGAGGAACATGATGGATTTGAAGAACCACATTTGTTGATAATGAAATTAGTAGGAAGACGTTTGAAGCAAAGTTTTCCACATAAATATCTTTATGTTGGGCCATTCTTCCTTCATTACTACCCAAGGTCCAATGATGTCTTTTGTGGGGCTCAAGAAACTCTAGCCCCCACTTTCATATTCTAGAATTTTTTCTCCTTTCCTATATAAGTTTAAGGTATGTGAGAGGTTAGGGTTAGATAACTTTGAGAGAAATTTGAAGAAAGGCATAGAGCCTATAATTTGAGAGCATCTCTAGGGAGAAGCTTGAGTATTAGACCTCTTTAGGGAAGTTTGAGTGAATACCACCATTGAAAGTGATGTTTGAGTGTGCAACCAATTATTGGTGAAGTTTGATCTTTTGTAACCCATTATTTACATATGGAAAGTTTGATCTGGATTAGAGTTTCATGAGTTTTTACTTCTTCACATTGGAGAATATTTTTCCACTTTAAACAAGTTGAATGTGTTCCTCTCTATCTCTCCCCTCTATATTTTTCTGTTTTTTGTTGCCTTGGCCGATTTGGTGATTCAGGCTGACCTCTGATTGGAGAGCCAAGCTCGACGTTTCAATTGCGACTCGCTTCCATACTGAATTAAGGGAACCGAGTTCCCAACACTTTATATGTTCATACCCTTTCCAGTTCCAAAGTTTTTTCGAATTAAAAGAGGATATATCATCATGACATTACAATATACCACTTTAACTAGAGTAGCTGATGTGTGGGTTATTCACGTGTAAAAAATTATTTCACTCCAAGAACATAAATTATTAAGTGAAAATTATATTAATAATTTGATATTATTACGTGGTCACATTATTTTACTTGTATAAAATATTTTAGTTAGTTAAAAATAATATGTTTATTATCTGCAATTATTATATTAATATTTATTTTTATCCAAAACAACGAATACTTAAATAATTTTAAAAGAAAAAAATCTGGAATGATAAGGACCAAAGAAGGAACAAAGAGAAAGAAAAAGACAGGGTTACCCAAACCCCAACGAACAAACTGTGGCAGTTTGGTATGCTTTGAAGTTTGAAGGCTCTGAAATTCCGAAAAGGAAATGCAGGGTGGTGTTCCCTCTGAATCTGAATCCGAATCTGATATCATCAGCAATCCCCATAATCGGACGGTGGTAGATGAACAACAAGCTTCGTTCAAAAGCTGGGCAAAGCAAACAGAGGAGAGTTATCAGTTGCAGCTTGCACTGGCGCTTCGTCTTTCCTCTCAGTATGCTTCTACCAATGATCCCAATTTCTTGGACTTGGGACCCACCTCTTCTTCTTCCTCATCCAATTCCGCTCAACCACTCTCACACCGTTTTTGGGTATTTTTTTACTTTTTCTAATTTTTTGTGAATGAATTCGTTTCCGGAAAATGTGGAAATGAGCCTCTTTTGTTTTCTTTTATGATAGATTGGAAATTTTCATATGAATAGAGTATATGATAGGATTTCACAATGGTCATTTATTATTATTATGAAAATAGTATTATGGTTTGCTCAAGTTAACAATAGCCAAAAAGTTAGTTATGAATGGTTGAAGATGATAATCAAGATGGGAGACTATGTTTAGTAAATTTTTTTTGAAGGAGATTATCTCAGAAATTTGACATGTGGCATTATTAGCAAGGGATGAACTGTATTTTGCAAGTATAATATATAATATGGAAATGAATCATCTCACCCCAGATTTTCAGATGACATGGTCATGTGAAAATTTTGATCCTTTTTCTATCCTCATAAACATTAAATAGGTGAGATCCTATCAAAATTTGAGTGTCTAGGAAGAGAGATAGACACAAAATTTTCGTATGATACAATTTTTTGGATATATATGTGCTGGGAATGGATCTTGTCATGTTAAAAATTCACATGACCTGGTTATGTGAAATTTTTGTGTTTATCTCTTTCTTCATTAATGATAATTGGACCCAACCTAGAAGAGAGAGATAGATACAAAAATTTCACATGACATGTATGTGCTTGACTAATAAAAGAAATAAAACCACTTTGTTTCTGGATTCAAACCTATGACCATTCAATCAAAAAGTTAACTTTGCCATTGCTCTAGGGTATTTGACTAATGACTATGTATAATATTCTCATATTTTTGAATTATAGCTTTTCAATTGTTTGAAAATAAAGGATATTCACAGAATGACTTTAGGAAATATAGAACTATTATTTCATCAGTTATGAGCAAGGTTGAACTAATACAAATACAGCTATATAATTTATTGAAAGTTATATGATTGGGGAATATGGTAGGCCCTTTAAATTAATTATTTTAAATTAATTGTATATGAATCTTCATAACGTTATAATTTAAATTAATTTTCAAGACATGATAATTCTCGTAATATTCCATATTTGGCAAGTTTCATACTTTTGCTGATTCAGTTTTGGTCAGTGGTTTATCTGATTAAAACATGTTTCTTGACCAACATTATGTAGCAATAAGGACCTGCTTTTAGCCATTAGAGATGAAAATGTTTCTAAAATAAAAGAGCAGGTGTTTAAAACACTCATCCGTCAATCATGTACTCTGGCTCTCTGTATACTGGAGTTTTACAAGATATATACCATATAATGATTCAGATGTCCTTTTGGTATTATCTGTGGTGCTGTACTTCATTAGTTGAGTGTGACATAGTTTCACTGTTGATGAGTAATTTGTGACAATGTATCTATAAAGTAACTATGGAATCTTACATGTACCTTTTAATTGAATGATTAATCCAAATGGTTTCCTTCCTTTCTTGTAGTTAAAAAGAAGTAATCAGAATATATATTCACTCTTCTAGAGCTACAATTGCCATACACACAAGTTTTGTTTATTAACCTTTCCTTTAACTGGAATTATATTAGGTTTGTTTTTGCTTTCACATTGGCCAGGTAAATGGTTGTTTGCAATACTCTGACAAAATTGTAGATGGCTTTTACCTAATCCATGGAATGGATGCGTATACATGGAATATGAGTACTGATATGCAGAATGTTGGTATGATTCCATCATTAGAATCACTGATGTCAGTTGAACTTTGTGATGACTCATCAATTGTAGTGGTTGCTATTGATAAATCTAGAGATCCTGGTTTGAGAGAACTGCAAAGTAGGGTAGTAAATCTTTCAAGCAACTGGATAACTACGAAAGATGCAACTGATAAGCTTGCAAATCTTGTGTATAGTAGGATGGGGTAAGTTCACCAATCTTCATTTTTGAAAAAAAAAAATTTGTTTTGGAAAGTTGCAATTGCATTGACTTCTTCCTAACAAGATTTTACTGTTTTCAAAAGGGGAGGATCTTCAACTGAGGAGAATTTAGGTACACGCTGGCGGGAATGCACCCAAATCCTTAAAAGCCGCCTGCATTCTGTCATTCTTCCAATTGGAAGCCTACCCGTTGGCCTTTGTGTCCACCGAGCATTGCTCTTTAAAGTATTCTTTTTACATCAATATCACTGAGATAATTAACACTTATCCTCTAGTTCTTTATTTTATTCTCTTCACCATTTCGTAGTCAAGCAGGCAACTTGGAGTTCCTAACTCAGAATATTCTTTATTTAGCGTACTACTGAAGTTTGGTTACTTGGTGCATTTGAATACCCTATAACAACTTAAATTGCAGGTGTTAGCTGACTTAATCAATCTACCATGCCGAATTGCTAAGGGCTGCAAGTATTGTAGGATGGACCGGGGTGCTTCTTGTATAGTGCAATTTGGTCCTGACAGGTTTTTGCATTAATTAATTAAAATTTCATGGAAAATTTAATACAAATAGTTTTTGAATTATTTGCAATATTGTAGGATCAAAGCGGTCAAATTGTGTTAAAATGGATGTTTCATTTAAAAATTAAATGTTTTTGAATTAGAAAAGTGGTATGCCAGTATTGAGGCTACAGACTGCCAAAATTTCCCTTAATAACGGAGTGACAGGATATTTTTTCTATCATGTGAAGTGCATGATGTTATCTTTCCTTTTTATATATATATATTGTTGTAAATAAATATTTTTATTATTCCTTTAGATTATTCTAGAAGCTTCTAGGTCCATTAGGTCACATAATCTCTTTAAATAGAGAACCTCTTGTACATGTTTAATACAATTCAATATACAATTCATTTTTCCAAGTATATATCAGAGCTCTCGACTCTGAGGGCTTTGCATCTGCGACAGCCGCCTTTCGCGCGGAACCCTTGTTTCCGGTCTCCTCGTTGCCATCAGCCGCCGTTAGAAATTTTTCGGGGACCTTTTGGACTGAGAGGACCACCGTTTGACTTAGATTTCTCAAACCATTGTTGTTCGGTTCACCTCTTCTTGTTCTTTCCAGATTTGTGATTGTTTTGTAGATTGGACGCTGTTTGGTTGTGTTTTTGCCTAAAAGTTCAAACTTTTTGGCTTTTCAAATCTCCTTTGCTCATATCTAACCCTTCCTTTGTTGTTTCAAATACCATTGTGCAGAATGAGAGATGCTGACAGTAGCAGCTCCACCCTTTTGGTGGTTACACAACTCATTACCCAGTCAGTTGCCCCAGTCTTGATGGGACTAATTATTTGCAGTGGTCGCGACTTGTTTTCACTATCATTAAAGGGCTTCATAAGGTTGCTCATCTTATTGGCCTTGCTCCTGCCAAAACAGATCCCAAGTTTGTTGAGTGGGATGATGAGGACTCTTTTATTATGACATGGTTATGGAACTCTGTGAATCCTGATGTGGGTTGTCACTGCATGTTCTTATCTTCCGCTCAGGAAATTTGGGAAGTTATTCGATCAACATATTCTTTGAAACAAAATATGGTTGCTTGCTATGATTTGAAAAATAAGATCTTTTGTACAAAACAAGGTTCACTATCTGTGACAGCCTATTATGGCATTATGAAGGAGTTGTGGATTGAGTTGGATCAATGTTAGAGTTTGAAGATGAAATATACTGAGTATGCTACCGCCTTAGCTGCGACAATAGAAAAAGATCGCATCTTTGATTTTCTTGTAGGGTTAAAACCTGAATATGACCCTATTCAGGTTTAGATACTTGGCAAAGAGAAATTTCCATCCTTTTCTGCGGTTTTTAATACTGTTAGGGTTGAGGAGACTCGCTGGTGAGTTATGATGAATGCTAAAATATCAGATAGGTCTGCTTTGTTATTGTCTTCTAAGGCTTTTGCTAATTCTAGAAACATTGATGGGTTTGCTATGATCTCGACAAAGAAAAAAGGTTTTTCTCAGGGAGACTCCTCTAATAAGCCTACTAATGGTTTTTCCTCTAAGACCAAGAAAGATGACCGCTGGTGCTCCTATTGTAAACGAGGAGGTCACATTAGGGACCTATGCTTTCGCCTCCATTGGAAGCAACAAGTTCTGAAGAAGATGGGGAGGGGGCGACTCCTCGTGGCCAAGCTCATTTGACCTCCTCTGATGTGGCTACTACTAGTGACGTCCTACCCGCTTCTTCGGAATTCACTACTATTTGACGAGACGAGTTGGAGCGTATTAGGACTATCCTTGATTCTCTAAGTAAGCCATCCGGAACTAATGCCTTGGCTATGCTGGTATGTCTACCAACTCTCATTCTTTTCTTGCTTTCTGTACTGATTTTAAAAAATTATGAATTGTGGATTCTGGTGCTACTGATCATATGACTTGCTGCACTGACTCTTTTCTTTCTTATCACCCCACTATTGGCACCCATACTATAGTTGTCGCTGATGGCTCTCACACATCAGTTGCGGGTTTTGGTAACATACACATATAGCCTTACCTGCATCTCAAAAATGCTCTTCATGTTCCCCAGCTCTCCACCAATCTTCTTTTTATCCATAAAATTACTAAAGATTTGAATTGTTCTGTAACTTTCTTCCCTACTTACTGTGTTTTTTGGGAGCTCACCACAGGGAAGACAATTGGGGGTACTAAGGAGCAGGGTGGGTTGTACTATCTTGTTCCCGAGTTTGCTGCAGATTGTGTTCATGATCACGCATTGATGACCCGCTACCAGTCTACTTTTGATTCTCTGATTTGACTTTACCATAAACGCCTGAGACATTCTCCTTTTAGTCTGGTTAATTCTTTGTTTCCATCCTTGTTTTTATCTAAGTCTGTTGAGTCTTTTTATTTGATGTTTGTGAGTTTGCAAAGCACCATCGTGTAACTTTTCCTTTTAGTACAATAAAAAGTTTTGAACCTTTTGATCTTATTTATTCTGATGTTTGGGGTCCTTCTAAGGTCCCTAATGTTTCTGGCAATAAATGGTTTATTTCCTTTATTAATGATTGTACTCGAGTAACTTTGATATTTTTGATGCATGACAAGTCTGAAGTTCCTCAGCTATTTATTCAATTTTATAATATGATTGAGACTCAATTTGGTAAAAATATTAAAAGTTTGAGATCGTACAATGGTACAGAGTATGTCAACAACACCTTTATCAATTTATAAGGGATATGGGAATGATTCATGAACTCACATGTGTTGACACCCCTCAGCAAAACAGGTTTGCTGAGCGAAAGAATCGTTATCTTCTTGAAATCACTCGGGCATTACTCTTTCAGACAAATGTACCCAATTGTTATTGGGGAGATGCCATTCTCGTTGTTGTTTATTTAATCAATTGCTTACCATCCCGAATCCTTGATCATGTGAGTTCTATTCACTCCATGACTTCTTTCTTTTCTTCTGTTCCCTTATGCAGAGTCTTCAGCCCTGAGTGTTTGGTTGTGTTGCTTTTGTCCATATAACTCTCAGGTCTGGATATTTAATGTTGTATCCAAAGTCTAACGAGAAGAACAATAATTTGTGTCTATCTGGAGGGCCCATTGTCCACTGAGTAGTTTTTTTTTTTTTTTGGGAAATGGTCATGTTCGTCAGTTTTCGGCCTTTGTCCACCTCTAACCCAAACCCTTTCCGTCTCTGTCCGCATTGACCGCTGCTGCCGGCGACTAGTCAAGTATGGTGTGCAAAAAATCCAAATGAACTGAACCAAATAAGAAACCAATCCAATCCAATCCATAAGACCAGTTTTTTAAAATGGTTTTGAAACCAAACCTTTTTTTATTCTTTTGGATGTGGATCGGATCATGATCCATAAAAACCGGTTTTTCAAAATAGTTTTGAAACCAAACTATTTTCTATATTTTTGAAATCAAATTGTTTAGTTGGATATGGAAGTGAGCGTGACACAGAGAAAGGATCTGAAAATGGAAGCTAATCTCATGTCGTTGTCACTAGAAATTATGACGGCTCATTTGCTCACGTGTTTTTAAATTTTTCTGTTTGATAATTTTTGTTTTATATTTATGTTATTAAATTTTTAATTGAATAGTTAATGATGACTATTTTCTAAAAGAACTAATATTTTATTTAAAATAGGGGATACCTTCCTAGGCTTTTTGACCCTTTTGTCCTTCATTAATTAATTAATAACCATTTTACCCCTTATTCAAAATTATCTACCAATCTGTCCATCTTTAATCGATTAATTTGAAGATTTAATCGATTAAATGGTCAAAACTGAAAAAAATGATTGACTTGAAGATTTAATCGATTAAATCTCCCTCTTAATCGATTAAATGTCCCTCTTAATCGATTAAATCTTGCCCACCTAAAATACCCATGTGAATTGCGAAGTCATATACTAACGAATATTTTATCAATTTATGTGAAGTGAATAACTTGAGTTTTTCTTTTGTCAATTGCTTTTGGTTTTGTCTCTCATTAATATGAATATCTAACTCATAAAACAAGATATTGACGTGATGATGATGCATACCTCCACAAATCCATCCCCAAAGCTAATACCATTTCCATTTCATTTGCAAGTCTGGCTTCTCTCATGCTATTTTCCTTATCTCCCTTGACATAGAAGTAACAAACTTAGTTTTCCTTCTTTCCTGCTCCATGTTTTGTTCTTGTTAGTTCATCCCTTGAGGAATTTTTCCTTTAGAAAATATAAATTACAAAATAAAATAAAGGAAAAAAATGGTTCGGGAACTGGAACAAGAGCAGGAAAGTTACAGGTCCAAACTATTCCATTTCAAAGGGATGTTTGAGAACACAGGGAGGCATACAAAGAGCTTGAGCATTGAGAGTGCTCAAACAAGATTTAATCAATTAAGAGGGAGATTTAATCGATTAAATCTTCAAGTCAACTATTTTTTCCAGTTTTGACCATTTAATCGATTAAATCTTCAAGTTAATCGATTAAAGAAGAGCAGATTGGTAGATAGTTTTGAATAAGAGGCAAAATGGTTATTAATTAATTAATAAAGGGTAAAAGGGTCAAAAAGCCTACCTTCCTAGATATTATAAAGTATTTTACTATTTTTGAATATTAAAATTATAAATGTTGCATTATATATAACAGTTGTCGTGACATTGGCTCTTGGTATCCAAGTTCAACCAATTTGTAAAATGGATTTCAAAACCTTATTAGCTACTCGCTCCTTTTCTCGATACAAAACAGAACCAGTTCTGATTTTGGACGAACCAGAGTAATGGTAAAGTTATTCTTTCATGACTGAAAGGTCATGAGTTCGAATCCAAGAAACAACCTCTTTGCAATTATGCAAGGATAAGGCTGCATACAAGGATTGCCTCCACCCACGCTTGCTAGTCGGGTTTAACAGGGAGTGGTTCTTTTTTTAATGTGGTTTTGAATTTGTCCAAACCGGTTTTGAGCTGATTCTAAACCAGTTCTATATCAAAGCCAGTTTTAATCCTTTAAATCGGTTTGGAA